TGATATAGCTGCAGCAAGCGTATGCGTCCAGAATGAATTGAATGTCCATATTTGCTCTATGCAATTTAAGGATATTTTTATTATAGGCATTTTTCTCTTTAGGAAAATGTGTGGCCTTTTTACAGATGAGCGAAGAGCAAGCTTGTATCCTTCATAGTCAGTGTTGATTCGCTCATCCGCCAAAAAATTTTCGAAGCAGTTCAACCGTATTATTTCTTCCTCTGGGAGATCCGTTAGAGTTAATAGTTCCTGTATTTTTTGGAATTGAGCTTTGTGTTGCTCAATACCTTCCTCATTCTCCAGAGGGAAAAGTATTTCTGTCCGTGGCATCGGCGGATATGGCATGTTGAATCGGCACACTTGTTTTCCATGTAGGTCTCTTAGGCAAGCTCGACCATGTCTGTGTTTTTGATACTGAATGAATTCCAGTAAGTCCAAATCATCCCTATCGGTTGTGATGTGTCGATCGATGAATGTTTCAACATCATTTGTGTTGGTGATTCCATCACTTTCCAATTGTGGTGCGTTACTTAGCCAGTACATGCCATGACAATGTGGTGATCCCCTATGCTGGAATTCAATTCTGTAGTAGTAACGGACTACTAAATTCTCTCCAAATAGCCCGTTTTGTAATAATTTTAGCATTTGGCGGAATCGATTGTCGAAATACCTGGAACATGTAACTGGATCTGTCCTAATCAGTCTCGCCTTTTCAGAGCTTGATAGAGCAGTAGCTTTCTCTTCCGAAATGTCTACTTTATCCACCAGTTTCTTCAATATGACTAACAACTCAGGCCATTTTGTTTCTGCAGCAGACATTGTGATAAAAAATGTTGGCAAACCAAACTGGCGGATCATGGCTAAAACTTTCTTCTTTTCAGCCTCCCAATGTGCAGGTGAGGATCGAAGTCCTTTGAGTACATGATAGCCTTCATCATGCTGGATAAGGTTGCTGACAAAATTTTCATCCCTCAAATTGCATTTTTAATGCGCTCCAACTCGTAGAACTTATAAATATACAGGAGCACGTCCACGCGCACACAACGCCGATCATAGCGTCGAATTTCAGAACGTACAATTTTACTATAAGTTGTTGTAGTTGTCCTCTTTTTTCGGCAGTAAATCGTTGGATACGACAATTCCTGAGCATCGTCGTCGGTTGTAACGTCTCTTGGGCATCTACCTTGTCCTGGTGCCATTGCAACCCGTTCAATGGATCGATTTTCAACGGGTTCATAGTCCATTAAAGTCTCCTGACCACCTGGATTTAAATCCTCGTCCATTTCAAGCGGTACATTTTCCTGACGGGCATTAAGAAGGTCTCTTACTTCTGCCTCATCTGCAGGATCCGCAATAAATGGCACAGTTTCCTCGTTTCCAGCATTTGCCAGCCAATCACTTGACATTTGGATATTATGCTTGACGTAGAGGTCTGTACCCAGCAGATAGTTTAGTGCCTCCAATATTTTTGCTGGTCGCACTGTCTCCGTCATAAAATTTTGTTCATATTCCAATCGACGTTTCAAGTGCACTTGAATAATATGGCTGTTATCAAATCTTCGTGGAAGCATGGTGACTGTCTCTACAACTGAAATTGGGATATTCACCACTGCTCCACGAATAGCACATTGTCGTTCATATCCTAAGGAGATGATGCGCATAAATGGGATCCTCGGTGATATCAGTCTTTCTTCTAGACACGTTAAATCCTGAAGGCATTCCGGAATATCAGGAAACTCCAATTCTTCCGATAGGCAGATATTTGGTATCTTGCTCTTCCTAACAATACGATAGCATGTGTTGCAAAAGTTGTACTTTTGGTTCGAAGACGGCAATTTTCATGACAGATAAAACACTTTTCTAGCATCTTCTGAGCGCGCAAATTTTGTTGAAGTCTGACATTTTTCTAGTTTTTTCACTTGATGAGGGAACCAAGTGCCACCGCAACAGACGCATATTTCAGTGGGTCCTTTCTTTATCAACAATGCGTACATATCAAAGATATTGGCAGCTCGACGTTGACGTTCTTGTTCTTCTAACTGTGCATCAGGAGAAAGTTCACGACGTCTTCTTATATTCCTCCTGGTTTGCCTCTGGCTTTCTAACTGACGATTTGCGGGATTCGATCTATGCAATTGTACTCTTTCCAACGTTGATTCTTGCTCGTTTGCTAGTTGTTGCCTGGTTTGCTGGCGGGTCAGTCTTCTTTGAGAAGAATTTAAAATTTGCTCACGACGTCTTCTTATTGGATCTTCTCGACGACTTCTCCTCAATGCTGCATCTCGTTGCCTCTCTTCTTCTCTTATTATTGCATTCTGGCGCCGTACAGAACGTTCCATTGTGTCGCGCTCCTGCTCCGCTGCTCTATATTCCGGATCCAAGCGCCTGTTTGAATGACCCATTGTGTTGCGCTCCTGCTCCGCTGCTCTATATTCCGGATTGGTTCTCCTATTTAAATGTTCCGCGGTGTTGCGTTCCTGCTCTTCAGTTCTATATTCCGGATCCAAGCGCCTAACCGAATGTCCTATTGTGTCGCGCTCCTGCTCCGCTGCTCTATATTCTGGATTCAAACGTTTATTTGAATGACCTACTGTATTACGCTGCTGCTCTTCAGCTCTGTGAAGTAGATTCTGTCGTCTAGTGGAACGTGCAGAACTATCACGAGTTCTCTCCTCATTGCGGTACTCCAAATTTGAGCTGCGTAATTCTGCAATATAATCAGCGTTCCTTTGTCTATTATTTTCCAAATTTTGACTATATTGTCGTCGGCTTCGATTCAGAGCATTGCGACGTCTTTGTTCCTGCGATTGCCTAGATACTCTTGGCATTTTCAAAAATTATTAAAAAATATACAAATAAAAAATATACTAAAATATTAATAAATTAAGTAATAATAATATAATTAAAAGAATCCGTATTATTTAAAAAAAGGATTTTTTCGTTGATTTTGAAAGTTATTTGCGTTGTTGAAAGTTTAAGCTGCTCGTGTAAACTGAAGTGATCCGATGCGTTGGGTCCTATTTATTGAATGTTTTAGAGCCCGACTTCACATCTGTAAACTCTTTTGCCCTTCTTGGTATCATCAAGCAACTTTCGTAGGAATACTAATGTGTTAATTACAGAAAGTGCATTGTAGAGGTTTTTTTTTAACCAGGGTATACTTTCTACCTAACTTGCAAACTATGTTTACTTCCTACCTACTCTTTTACCTAGGTTTTGTTTTGTACCTACCCATCAGTTAATTAGGGTTTTAAAAGTGAATAATTATCTTTAGATAGTTCTCTATTATTATTAATAAATAATAATATATCTTGAATAATTAGGGATTTATTTATTTTATGGGTAATTAAATAATATTTTTGCTCCTTACTCTTATGTATCTATTCTTAACACATTTTTCAACTTATTGTCCCAATTAGCTACATGTCACACCTTACTTTTGGCACAAGCAAAACAGTTTTTGGCAGATATATTTTTATTGAAAGCTCAAATTGGACAGTATAAATAATTAATTAATCTGATTTGTTTATAATATATTATTTGTAAAGTGGTTAAATCTGACAGCTGTATGCTATAGTGGTCCGATCTTAACAATTCGTTCGAAGATTGAAGTCACATCTTAAGCACTAATCCATACTAAAAACTTCCATACAAAAATTTATTTTGATCGGTCAGTTTCTATGGTAGCTGTTTAATATAGTGGTCTGATATGAACAATTCGTTCGAAAATTGTAGCGATATCTTGGACAATCATCATCCATGCCATATTTCGTGAAGATAACTTGTCATAAACAATTTTTTTCATATAAGAACTTTATTTAGATTGTCAGTTTGTATGGCAGCTATATGCCATTGAGAGAAATCAATGCCGGATTTCGTGAAGATGTTTTATCTAATGAACAATTTTTCCATGCAAGAACTTGATTCCGATCGTTCCGTTTATATGGCAGCTATATGCTATAGTAATCCGATGTGAAAAATTTCTTTGGAGATTGCATTACTTCTTCTAGCAAAAACTTATGCCAAATATTGTGAACATATCTCGTCGAATGAAAAAGTTTTCCATGCAAGTACTTGATTCCGATCGTTCAGTTTGTATGGCAGATATATGCTATAGTGATCCGATCTGAACAATTTCTTCGGAGATTGCATTACTTCTTCTAGCAAAAACTCATGCCAAATATTGTGAACATACCTCGTCAAATGAAAAAGTTTTCCATGCAAGCACTTGATTCCGATCGTTCAGTTTGTATGGCAGATATATGCTATAGTGATCCGATCTGAACAATTTCTTCGGAGATTGCATTACTTCTTCTAGCAAAAACCCATGCCGAATTTCGTGAACATACCTCGTCAAATGAAAAAGTTTTCCATACAAACACTTGAATCCGATTGTTCAGTTTACATGGCAGCTATATGCTATAGTGATCCGATATCGGCGGTTCCGACAAATGAGCAGCTTCTTTGTGAGAAAAGGACAGCTGCAAAATTTCAGATCGATATCTCAAAAACTGAGGGACTAGTTCGCGTATATACAGACGGACGGACAGACAGACAGACATGGCTAAATCAACTCAGCTCGT